CCAACTTTATATGGCTCTGGTTTTAATTAGCCCTCTTTTGAAATAATGGGTCTGGCCTGTAGCAATTTTTCAGGCATATTAGAGGGAGGTGGGTTTCAAGTCCACTTGGAGTTACAGACCCTTAACTTCGTTATCATTAAGCCAGCCTTCTTTGTCAGGCCTGTTCAAAATGGAGTTCCTTGTCCAGTCCATGTCTGCCAGTGGAATCCACAAATTCCTAATGCATCTGTGTGAATYGGTCCTCTGTTCCATCACTGCCTGTTGGTGGTGTGCACATATGTGAGCCATTGCAGAGAACAGAGGGGCRATTCAGACACTGGGAACATTTTTAGAATAATGACACTCAGTGGAATTTTCACATGGACTTGCATTTTAATTTATGACTATGGGCCACTTTTGTTAAATAAAGCATGTATTTACAATATTCAAACATTTAAAGTTTTTGAAAAATRTGTAACTCTTTTGGGTTTGAGTGTATGCTTATAAGGCTTATGTAATTCAGGTTTTGACCATGGAAAAGCTAGGATAGAAAGCAAAACAATCCAGCTGTACAGAGTTGAGATGGTTAGAAGATGGACTGCATTAGAGACTGAGCATCTGTGGATCAGGGTAAGTCATTCCCTCTGCTTTGACTTATTCACCCATTCAGTCTYTCATTCATTCATCATATTCATGGTCTACCTCTCATACGCAAAACCTAGTATCCAAAATGTTAAAAAAGGCAAGTTGCTCAACCTTTCTGGTCTTGATTTCCTTATCTATAAAATAGGGGAGTTGTTACAGATACCATGATGTTTTGGAAACATTTAGGTAATATGTGATAATTATAATAATAATTCGAAAAACAGCAATCCAGTGAGTCTTTTCTGTCCACAGATGTTATCCTAAGCATTTGATGGTTAAAAATTCCTTGGAAGGCCCCTACATCCGGACTAGATTTAAAGACTGGCCTAAGATAAACCATTCCAGAGCTTTAGGGGAAGGCATGATTTCCCTATGATGAGTTAGGMCACTGACAGGGCTGAAAGTACTGAGAGAACAACAGGGAGGTTTCTGTCCTTCAGGARCTCAGGGAGACAGCCTGATAGTCCACTTTTATAAGGGCCAGAAACAAACTCTTAGGCTCAGACACAGAAAATCRGTCCTTGGGCTACAAGTATCTCTAGGACCTTTGGGGTGACAATTCAAGAGCCAAGAATTATCTATAGCTTCTGAAAAGGACATGAGATTTCATGATTGCTCTTAAATCATCGGGAGTCCTCCTAACATCTCCAGGACTCCAGTGAAGAAAGCGGAATGTGATGGCTGCCATCTCCGAACTAGCCTTCCCCACCAGGATGTGTATTCAGACATAGGACACTGGACGAACACTTCCCACTTAACAGGAAACCAACTGTCAGTTCCTCTTCCCAGCGTATTTTGCAAGTAGATTTTAAAATTATATCTACCCTATCCTTGAAAGTTCTTACTAGAAATTTTGAAAGATCTCAGAAGGTCTTGTCAAAATTTGAATTAAATTCAAGGTAGAAGGACTGTCACCACCAAWGCTGTAAAAAAATTTTCCACTTGGGAAAAGCCGCAGAGTACCACAAGAGTGCTAGATGTCAGGGTTTGCATTTTATATGTTTTAAAACATAAAAACTTTGATTCTAATGCCTGTATCATATGCTAAACACATGTGACCTTAACTAAATATCACAAAAACCCACCATAAATTAATCGTCAACCTTAATAGCTTCCTTATTTCAAAACACATTCGTTTTGCAAGCTAATGCCTTAAGGCCAAAATTTTAAGGTAACTACACAGAGTTTAAATGAAAAACATACCAGGATACACATACCTATATAATCTCTCTTTCCCTTTCGCTCTCCCTTTCCAACACACTTAGTTTCTCTGTCATTTTAACTCAAAATGGAAGGAGAGAAACTTGGCACACATTTGAATTCTCAGTTTTTCACCGTCATTGACTATATTTGCTATTTTGAGTCTCACCTCCACTTTATCAGAGGAACATTAGATTTTTCAAAATTTCTTCCATTCTTTACCATGTGTGTGTGTGTGTGTGTGTGTGTGTGTGTCCAAATGTTTTCTTCAGAAGAAAGGCCACAAGGCCTCTGTTGAAGGAGAAGAAGAAGAAGAAGAAGAAGAAGAGGAGGAGGAGGAGGAGGAGGAGGAGGAGGAGGAGATGATGATGATGATGATTTTGGAAGTTATTTAAGCTGATACATGCTTTTAGAATTTCCTTCAAGTTTATGATCCAAGTTCCTAAGTTTCAAGACCAATTCACTCCCCTAACACCTCCTGGGGCTGGATGTGTCTAGATTATCATACTTTCCACAGGAAGAGACAAGAGGTAATGGAGAGAAGGGAAAGCACCTCTGAGGGAGGCAGTGAACAGAGAGGCGAGTCCTGGCTAATGCTCCCTCTGTCCCTTCTACCCACAGTTGGAAGCCAATGGAGGTTAATGCTTCTGCTCAGCCTCCCTTGTGGGCTAACAAAGGCAAGAGAGTCTCACTCATGACCCACTTTCTGGCAATACATTGAGTCTTTCAAAAAAAAAAATAGAAAGGCAGGATGACATCTAGCAAGGAACACCTTTTTTTTCTTGGTGTTTTAAAATAAACATATACATGAAAAGCAAATATGGGAAGCTTTTAGAGGGAACTGCATATGAAATCATTCAGCAAATGTTTTGGTCTGTATCTTAAATAATCAGAGTGGAATATTCACAAGAATCCAAATTTTAAATGTTCTTCATCTGTGCTTAAGTACTTTCCTTTATTACTAATACTAAATGTAAAGCACTAACACAATAGTACAATTTAACATAACATGATATATCCTTACATAAGACATTCAAAATCTACTCCATGAAAATGTAAATGATCACCGGTTTCAATTGGAATACAAACACAGTCCAGTATGTGTTTAATATTTTATTTTGTGTCTTATTTTAAATAAGAATAAGCTTCTACTTCACTACAGAAGTATTCAGTATAAAAAAGTTTTTATCGATGTTTCACTCTCAGCAGAAAATAACAAAGTTATTTTACCTATTTGTGATTTTACCTATTGCATTTCTCTATTAAAGTTTTAAAAATATTTTTTAGTTGTAAATGGACACAATATCTTTGTTTTATTAATTTATATGTGGTGCTAAGGATCAAACCCAGTGCCTCACATGTGCTAGGCAAGTGCTCTACCACTGAGCTACAACCTCAGCCTTCTATTAAAGGCTTTTTTTTTTAACATTTTGATTGATATTATACCTTAAAGAAAAAAATAGTATCTTAATACCTAAACTCAGTATAATCTACTGAAAATGTCAAGGCTTGCTCAAGGATCTGAGTTAGTCCTAAGTCAGGCCAAGCTGGAACATTGAACAAACYGTGTCCCGTTTGTCCTCTGTCTGTGGTTCATATTGTACTTTCACATACATCCTCTCACTGGACTCTCATAATTAACTCAAGAAACAGAAATGGAGCAAGTGTTATGATCTCCTTTAGAGATGATGTTTAGTGCCATGGGTCTCCAATTTTTTATTCCACCTGGGACAGGGGAATAGCTCCATTGTCACCAGCTCCATTTAGAGGAGCAGTATCTCTAAGTGCTGTAGCAGAGAGGCAAAAAAAAAAAAAGACAAAAAGACCATCATGGAGCATATATAATATCTTCTCTCTCAAGAGACTTAGAAGCATGAAAAAAACTAAGTGAGTAATTATATTGGGGGGAAAGTTCCCTTTTTGGAATGATATTGATCATTCATTCATTTTCCATTCATTCAACAGATCATAGGGCTCCTAATGGGTGGCATGCTTAGTTCCACCAGGAAGTGAGGAGGGGGCAATACAAAGAGCCAGCCTTCAGGAAAAGTAACATTCTCATGAAATATGTGAAGCAATAAATGAGCACAATCATCTCAGAAGGTGATTCATTCTACACAGGAAATACATGGAAGGGAGGAAAGTGGTTTTTTTTTTTTTTTGTATGCGTGATCAGAGAGGTGAGATTTGAGCTAAGACCTGAAGAAATGGCCATCCCAACAGAGCCAAGGGCTGGAAGCTTGGAGGAGCTGCAACAGGGTAGGCCAGCAGCATTGGCCAGACACAGGAGAAGAGAGAAGTGGATAGAAGCTATGTCGGGGCCTGAAGAGCCTCTAAGGCCAGGGAAAGTGGTTGAAGTTTGTTCTAAGCACAAAGAAAGCCACCAAGTCACATCCCACAAGAAAGGGAATGTGATCTGATTTGTGGTTTTAAAAGATTATTCTGCCTGCTAAGTTAGGAGGGCAGAGGTGAAAGAGGAAAGAACAGTGAAGAGGCCATGTTAGTGGCCCAGGCAAAAGATGGTGGTAGTCTGCCTGGTGGAAGAAGGAACAAAAGCCAAGATACATTCTGAAGCTAGACCTGACAGCATTTGCTAAAAGACCAGATATGGAGGAAGAAGAGGGAAGGGAAGGGACCAAGGATAACTTACAGGTCTTCTAGCTTGAGCATGGGGCAGATGTAAATGCCTTTGATAGGGTTATGGGGGGAATAAAAGCCAAGGTTCTATTCTGGTTGTTAAGTTAGTCTATAACCAATCTAAGAGAAGACATCTGGTAAGAAACTAGATTCATGAGGCCTAAGCGTAAGGGAGTGAATTTAGAAATGAAAACCATCAGTAYATGAGTAATGGTTAAAGACACAGGGCTGAGTGAAAGTTCCTAGGAAAGAGATGGCTAGAACAGTGRGGGGGACTCTGAATTAGACCCTGATCTAGGAACAGAAATAGGAAACAGCAAGGGAATGATAGAGCTGCTACCAGAGAAGCAGGAGAAAAAACATACAATCTGCATGTTCATAATGGTGCAAGTGCCCCAGGAAGTCCATAAGTAAAGATAAATAACTTCATCAATTGCTTCAGACTACTCTGTTCTTCTGTTATGTTAAATCACCTTCACCAAAGTCACTTATAAGTGCATTTTTAGAAACTAGTATACTGCCTGCTAAAAAAATCTCACCTTTGCTCCAGTGTCTCCTACTCCACGTAAACCCATTGGTCCAGGGGGTCCTGGTAATCCTCTAGGTCCCTGAGATAACATCAAAAGGCGGGCAGTGAGCATCTTTGTAAAATGCAATGCTCAGAAAAAATGGAGGAAAGAAGGGTAGGAGAATAATATTTGCAACATTACACAGTTTAACACTCTTTATTACATATTTTATAACAAACTAGAAGAGAGTAGTTTGAATGTTTCCAACATGAAGAAATGATAGTTAAGGAGACTGAAATACAAATCATCCTGATTTGATCATTGTACCTTATGTACACTATCRAATTATCATATTGTACTCCACAAATATGTACAATTATGTGTAAGTTTAAAATTTTAAAAAAATACATATATAAAGAAAAAARGGAAATATCCACACTTACAGCCACACCAGGATAGCCGTCGCCTTTGAGTCCTGGAGCACCCTTGGGTCCCTGAGGGCCTTGGGCACCCTAGGTAAATTCCAATACCAGGTGATATCATGAGGCTAAAGCATRAAACACCTGGCAAAACTTAAGCAACACCAACTCAATATACCAAAGAAATATTTGATGAGTGCAAAGGAATAATTTGAAAAATGTTAGGAGATAATCCTACCACATTCGGCAATTTGTTACCTCTTCAGAAGCCTTATCCACCTGAGCTCAGGGGGAAGAAGTACAGTTTGAATGTAGGGAATATATAGAAACCACTATAAAGTCCTTGATTGGAAACACAATTATCAGGAATTAGAAAATGATTTGTGGGTAATATTTCAATTTTCAAAATAACAAATAGTATATCAAAAATCTGGGAGGAACATWAAAAATTCAGTAATCACAATGTGAAATAAGCAAAGTAAATTCATAGCAAAAATTTCAGGGTGGAATAGATAATTCTACACTCCTTGCTGTTGTATTAAACCTACTGTCTTCATCAATGGTACCCAAATTACATGGGGGAATGAATAAACCCAAACGAAAAAAAAGGAGATTTTTTTTTAAGTTATGAAAGGATGGGACACTGATGGTTTGTGGCTCACTATCTTGGGAACTAAGGAAAAGTTATAAATATTGCTTAATAGTGACAATCTCAGGCATCAAAACTTTGAGCAGCAGTCATTCACTTTCCATTCAGAGTTTAGGGAGAGGTAATTTTTGTGTAATTGTAATTACACAAAATTTAATATGTAATTCTCTTACAAATAGAAATCCAAAAGATTTTTGAATAAAGTAAAATGGGGGAACAGGAAGGAAAAAATGAATCTTTTAGAAGATTTGTTAAATATAAAGTCTAATAAACCATGCCATTCAGTTACTGTGGCAACTCCTACAACCTTGTCARTCAAAGTAAACCACCCTTCCTGGTGCTCATGTTTTAAAATGTGTTTTTTTGTTTTTTTTTTTTACATTAGGAGAAAACTCTAAAAACAGGCAGACTTTTATTTTCCTCAAACAGTAAAAATAAACAATACCCAAGAATTTTCTTTACATACAAGCAAATTCTGAGATCAAATTGGTACTACTCCAACCCAAAATGTTGTCCAAAAGTTAACTCTTTAAAACTTCCTAATTCTATGACTGAATGATTGATTAGGGGAAGGAAAAATAGCACATACCTTTAAAGCAATGATAAATTTATTTTGAAACCATGCAACAGCTGTTTTCTCCTAGTAAATCTAAGAGACTAGTTTTATGTGATTAGACTTCTTAAAAATGATCTCTAAGAAATGTGTAGCCCCATATAAAAACTTAATGCACTATTTCATCAACAAAAACGTATGATTTTTTAAAAGATGTACAATAAAGAAAAAGCACATAGTCTTTAGAGGAGGTGAATTTTAGTACATCCCCTGCTACAGGAAATTGGTCACTGAGTTTGAAAACTCAGAAGTAATTTTTTATGCTATTCCAATTACATTTAAGGTTTAAGCTCTGAACATTCATGTACAAGACTTGTCCCCAAATAATATTCCCATTTCTTCCCATCCTTATACCAGGAAAAGGCCTGCAACAAAATAAAGCAATAACTGCCTCCCTGGTTAAGCTGAAAAAAAAATTGGAATCAAAATTCACTTTTCAAATCTCTCATCTAAGTTCCAAGCAATAATCAATCATCAGCTGTTATTGATTAACCTCTGCACCCACAGTATGGGGCAAAAAAAAAAAAAAACCACATAGAAACACAGTTTACAAACATTTTCTTTTCCTAGATATATTTGCCCTCTCTCCTGCAAAAAATTTTACTTAGCTGGTTGCTTCKAATGTTAATAGGAAATATCAAGAGAATAGGGGTAGATTTTTATTTTGAACTCTTCACAGTGTTTTTATATACGGAATTTTGCCACTTGGCCTTTCTGCACTGGATTCAAGGGAATGTCCTAAAAATGATTTACTTTGAAGTCTTTCATTCAACAGAAATTTGGATGAAAATTGAAATCTGGTGTTTTGAAATGGGTCTGAGAGTTCCTTGAAATAGTACACAAAAGTGAATTAATATGCAAAAACCTCCATTGGCCATTCAAAGAAGCATGTGACCTTCCGTAAAAGCTAATGAATTAGGAAATAATGGCAGAAAGAATAGCATTAGAGCCCAAAGGATTAGGAAAATGTTTGGTTGAAAGCAAATATCTTTAAATACAATTACCTACAATGTCCAATGTTCATCAGCAGGAAAGAAGTGAGGTTTGRAAACTCTAGCAGCACATTTAATTAGACTTTATTCTTATTTCAAAGGAAGTCCAGAGAGATAAGTATAAATCATGGATTTGTGCATACACAGTTATCAAATAGGATGAAAACTGTCACACTGATGTAATTAAAGAAAGTCATGTCTGCAGTTTCTCACCAGAAAAAAGGAATTTTTATCTAGGGGCGGTGGTACACAACTGTTATCCTAGCAGCTTGGGAAGCTGAGGCAGGAGGATCATGAGTTCAAAGCCAACTTCAGCAACTGAGCAAGGCGCTAAGCAACTCTGTCTCTAAATAAACACAAAATAGGGCTGGGGATGTAGCTCAGTGGCCGAGTGCCCCTGAGTTCAATCACCAGTACCGGGGGAAAAAAAGGGAATTTTATTTTCTTGAGCTGTCTACATAGCTTAGGTTCCATATAACACGAAGTCTGGGGTAGGGTGAAGAACCCATCCCAGTTTACATAAGATTTTCCCAGCTTCAGTCCTGAAAGCCTAGCATCCTAAGAACCCTCAATCTTGGACAAACTAGGGCACTCAGCACTCCAGCAGGAAGAAGTGCTAAAACAGTAAGAAGAATGGAGGATCTTCAAAACTCCAATTTATGTCCGTTTTTAATAGGTTGTGAATTATGTTTCATTTAAAAGATGACTCCAACTTTTTTTTTCAGTTTRAGTACTTTAACCTTTTTAGCTAAATGAGACATAAGATACGACATATGATACGAGAATATAGAAATGTGCCTCAAAGCTCCATGGCAATACACTATTCATTTAATAAATATTAATTATGGGGCCTGGAAGTCTGTTCCCATAAACAGAGATGGTTGATACCTAGGAATGTTATAAATGCTAAATCTTGCTGCAATGTTGGGTATAGTGTGAAAAGGGAAATGGTGATTTGTGACCATGGAAAACCAGTTGGTTTGGTTAGGCTCTTGTATAATTATTTGTGTTTTCACCTGAAGTAACTCAAAAGGATGAAAAATCAAAGCAAGGAAAACTTTGATCCAATAAAGCTTCCAAATGTGAGMTCTTTTGGACAGTGTCTTGCAAACAGCTATGCTCTCATTCGTAAATAAATGAAAGAGCCAGAGGCCATTAAAACCCTTATATCACAGACATTGCAAAAACAGCATTTTCAAATAATTGTCTAATCAGCAAAAATATAACCATAGGAACTACTGTTTTCCACATGTGTAAAAAAATAAAATGATTTTTAAAGAATATAGTTCTAAAACTTATCTCATCAACACAGAGAATTTACAAGTAGAAAAATCCACTTAATAAGTACTAGGCTTTGGATCTTGACTGTCCCCCAATGGTTCATGTGTTAAAGGCTTGGACCCCAGTCTGTGGGCACTAAAATGGGGTGGTGGTAGACACTTTAAGAGGTGGGGAGGCTAGATCATTGTAGATGTGCCTTTGAAGGGGACAATGGGACCTTGCATGGCCTCTTCCTGTTCTTTCTTGGCTTCCTGGTTGCCTGGAGTTGAAAAGGCCTCCACCATGTATTCTTGCCATCATACACTATGACACCACAGGCTCAAAGCAAGAAGGCCCAGCAAACATGGACTGCAACCATGAGCCAAAATAAACTTTTCCTCCTTCGGAGTTGATTATTTCGAGTATTTTGTCATAGCCATGAAAAACTAACACTTCAGGCATTAAGTCGACTTCTCACATGCAAAGAAAGGAAAAGAACATGAATAAAGCGTACCTTTGGTCCTCGAATAAAAAGTCCAGGTTCTCCTTTAAATCCAGGCATCCCAGGACCTCCTCTATCTCCCTGTACATTTCAAATAACATTCACAGGCTCCAAGTTGTGTGAGAAACCACAAGGCATACAGCATAAAAGAGACTGGCCAATCTGAAAGAGCTTAATCTACCAACTCAAGTCTTAAAATATTATATTTTTTAACAAATTTGAGGGGAAGTTCAAATCCTAATAAAACTTGCCAATAAAGACTACTACAGCTGTTTGGAGAAAACCCACTGAAATAATAAGTGGCAATTTAGACTCAAATATTTAAGCTGTAAGAATGCCTGGGGATGTTCTTAAAACTCAGAGTATTTCTTTTCTGCCAAGCTTTTCAATTATAGATCCTAGTAAATTTTTTTTCTGAATAAATGCAATAAAATTCTTGCCTGCCCTGGGGTCTAGGATTTGGAAGAAGTAGTACAGGATGAAGTTAACACTGGAAACTCTGTTAACTGCAGTGGCTAACTCTACTGCTGGCTGTTGGTCTGCTTATCTGTGAAATATCAGGGTTAAATGAGACCATTTCTTACGGATCTCCCAAAATAGAAATTCTAGTTCACTAAATCATGATCTACTGGGATCATAAAATATAAATTTTTTYCCCCTCTAACTGCCACAGATCCAAGTAAAAGGAAAAAATTTCTAAGAATATATACCTTTGGCCCAGGTGGTCCAGGAATTGATGGTCCAGGCATTCCAAAAGGGCCCATAATGCCCTGTTCACCCTTGAAAAGAGGAAAAAAAAACTACAATGTCTAATTTTAAAATATTAGTCTTTCATAAATTAATGTGAAAATAATTTGAGCACCTTTTGTAAATCATTGCTAAAGTAGTCAATCCATAAGATTTCAGTGTTCTTTATTAAATGTATTCAGTTAATTCCTAAGTGTTAGAAGAAATTTAATCTCTTGTGCAACTTTTCACTAGCTAATACAGATGTTGCAATCCACCGTCTTTCCCTTTTGTATTGTATGCCAGGAAGCTCAGAAAGAAATGTTTCGTTAAATTATAGCAATGTCTTCCACATAAGTTTTGGAGTACACTTCAAATTTCAATTTTTTCCTTTTTTTGTTTCATTTTAATGGCCTATAGTATATCTTTTTTTGTGGCAGGGGGTATGGAGGATTGAACTCAGTTGCAATCAACCATTGAGCCACATCCCCAGCCCTATTTTGTATGTTATTTGAAGACAGGGTCTCACTGAGTTGCTTAGCACCTTGCTTTTTGCTGATGCTGGCTTTGAACTTGCAATCCTCCTGCCTCAGCTTCTGGAGCTGCTGGGATTACAGGTGTGTGCCATGGCACCGGGCTCAATCTTCCACTGTATGTTATCTTACATCCTTTTTTAGAAGTTGAGAGTTCATAGATTTTTTTAAAAAATTAACTTTGGATAGGGCTGGGGAAGTGGCTCAAGCGGTAATGCGCTCACCTAGCATGCGCAGGGTGCCGAGTTCGATCCTCAGCACCACATAAAAATAAAGATGTTGTATCCACCAAAAACTGAAAAATAAATWAAAAAAAATTAACTTTGGGTAGAAAACTTAAAGCACCTTTTTTTTCTTTTCCTCCCCTTTCTGCTCTCTTCCTCCCTAACTACCTTTTTGGATTTAATAGTAAGTCATAGAGACTCAATTTGGAGCAAGAGGTAATTCCTCTGTCTCACCTGAAATGTAAACCAGCAATTCTCAAATTTTAGTAAGCATAAGAATTATCAAAAGAGTTAAGTAGATATGCAGCCCTAGGTTTCAAGTCCCAGAGCTTCAGATTGATCTAGGGGTGCAGCCCAGGAATAGGCATGTTCATGAAGTACCTCTGATGACTCTGACATGGACCCCATTACCATACTTTAGAAAACCATATTTCAAAGCAACTTTCACTGCACACACCACAAATCCCATTGTTTATGAAAACTGATAACATATAAGATAGTTTATGAATAAAATTGATTAAAAATAAACAAGACAGGCATTGTGATACACACATGTAATCCCAGTAATTCTGTAGGCTACGACAGGAGGATTACAAATTTGAGACTGGTCTGGGCAATTTACTGAGACCCTAATTCAAAATAAGAATTAAAAAGGGACTAGGGATGTAGCTCAGTGTTAAAGTGCCCCTGGGTTCAATTTCAAGTATGTATAAATAAATAAATCTATACTGGAGTGTGGTCAGAATTTTACTGCCAGAGTTTTTACAACCAGAACAATTTGGAAACTATTGCTCTGGAGTAGATGTGGCCAAAGCCACCCTGCCCCCAGATTTTGAAGAGCACTGGGCTAACAATGGGCTTTCATGGATGCAATGTCTTCAATTTTGCTTCTTAGCCCACAAATTTAAATATTTACTATCTGCCCTTTACAAAAACAAAAACAAAACCGTGGAGAACTGCACTAGAGGTTGATCTATTTCGATGCTATGCTTCTATCTGATCCTCTAGGACTTCAGATTGATGACTAATCCTTCCTCTGCCTGATTCATGTCCTCTGAGCTGTCTCTTGGGTTTCCCACTTCCTCCAGGAGGGACCCCATGGATCTGATTCACCAGTGAAGAGCCAGTGTCCATCTTCCCACCTAAGGCCTCTACTGGGTGGTAAAATTATCCATTACAACCCACAAGGTAAGAACGCCAATCTGCTGGGGCCCAGTCCTTGTGAGGGTATGTACAAACCAGTCCTTAAACCTGAACCCTGTAGGGTTTGACACAATGCATAACTAGTACTGGCACATACATGTCGGTCAGGATCTGGCCACAGATAACTCCCCCCCCATCCAATCCTGTGGCAAAGAAACAAGATACCTGTTAAAATTCCTCACTAAAATGAGAGGCAAAGAAAAATTATGCTTCTAAATTTGATTTGTTCTTATTTTTAAAGGCTCATTTTAAACTATAAAAAGTATCACAGAAAGTATACAGTTTTTAGGCATACAAAGCCCCTGGATGAAGATACGATTATGCTTTAAAATATGGCAATTCTGCAACTCCACCTTAAGGGGAAAAAAATCCTTATTTCAAAATATAAAAATTCTCACTTTGAGTAAGAGCAACAAAAACATTAAAAGTAAGCCCTGTTATTCACACTAATACAACACAGTTCTTATATAGTGGACATTTCTCAAATTGTGCTTCTTGAACTACCAATGTCTGAGGACTTTCTTGGAGAAAAAAAGATTACGGGGACCCACCCACTTATTGAATCCTTATCTCTAGGAATAGGACCAAGAAATATGGATTTGTAACAAGCTCACCAGGTGACACTGATGGACGCTAGCATTTCAGAATCACTGGTCTACAGGTGAGGCTTTGGTTTTTTACCTGCTCTTGCTAATATCATTCTTTAAAATTTGCTCTTCAATCATCTCATCCTTGAATATACTCCTTATCTCTTTTCTTACAATCAGCATCTTCCGAGAGGCATAAATTCTCTTGGATTTGCAGTTTACTTCTTGACATATTCAACACAATCACCATGTTCTCACCTGACTCAGGACACATACCTCCTTGCCTTACAATCTCCTTCAATTCCTCCTCAGCTCCCTGTTCTGGACAATTTATGAGGATCACAGGCCTCTATTTTCTATTTCACAGTATGGATTTTTTCTCTCTGAATAACTCCATGTGATGAATACTTACTAGGTGCCAGGTACCATGCTGAATGCTTTATTAACTCCCTATATTCACAATAACTCTGTGAAATTAATCATATTTTGTTCTTTCCATTTGGGAAGCAACTGGCTCTGAGAAGCTGGAGCCGAGTCCAATGGAAGGGGCCTCCTGAAGCCTGCTCCTCCTCAGGCCGTGCTGCCTCTCAGTCCCCCGACTTCTGGTTCAGCCAAATGAGATCATGAAGAATTGGTATTTTCTACGACCCCAGCTTTATCTCAACTTCTGACTGTTTGGTAATTGAGCAGGTTGACGTACAGATTCCCTCTTAGAAGCATAAATATTTCAGTGAAGATTACATACTCCATGGTGATCTCTTTACTGAATTCTATTTGGGTCTGGGAGCAGAATGTTTTCTAAAGGCTTTTTCTTTTTTATTATTTGGGAGGTTTTGTTTTGTATTTGTTGGGAAGGAAACAAGTAATCAAATTTGCAGTGGAATTCTAATCTATTGAAACCAGACACAATTACAATCTCCTGAAAGCATAAATGAGGATATAAGAAACATACCTTTGGCCCCGCAGGTCCTGGAAATCCCATATGTCCTTGATTTCCTTTGCTTCCTTTCTTTCCTTCATCACCCTGACAAAATAATTATGAAAATATAGATGTTGTAGTAACAAACCCTCTCCTAACCTAACAATGACCACCTCCAAGCCAGAATTCTCAACAAATACCAATTTTAAGGCGATATGCCTGAGCCCGGCTTAGTTGTACCGGGTTTGTCAATGTTCTTCAGAAAAACTGAGTAACTCCAGAATTGTTCTGTCTTCATCAATTATTCAATATGACTTAATATTTTTAAAAATCTACATTCTGAATCTTTGAGAACTTTTACTTGAATTTATACTTGTTTTGCGCCCTTGGTCTATTAACAGATGGTTCTGAGGCATTCAGAGTTTCAGGAAAGAGATCCGACTATGCTTTTTCATCCTGTCTTTCTGTTTTAATGCTATTTCGGTTTTAAAACATAAAAAAAAAGACATTTTTTACAATCCCATTTCTTCCCCAGTGGGGAGTCTAGTTCATTCCTCCCAAGGAGACAAATCATGGTAACATAGGTTCTGTCGTAAGATATTTCAGCATTAACCTGAAGCAGATCCAAAACCAGCCTTCTGGATGTTTCCAGCATGGCTGTGTCGGGCAGGGCTCCCCCAAAGCAGTTGTTACCTTCAATCAGGAAGCCTCCCAACTTTATGACACTGTTTCAACTAAGGCTCTCCTGCTGTTATCATCAGGATGTCCAGTTGGGGTTCAGGTCCTGGTGCCCCAAAGAATTGAGCAAGTGTACACAAGTTACAGGCAAAGTACGGATTTATTGAAGGTGAAGGTAAAAGTAGCACTCCTTAAGTTGGAACAGAGTGGGCCCAATGTCTGGAAATTAGAGTTTTATATGTGGAGCTGTGAGATGTTGTCTTCCCTAGATGGACCTGATTCAAGGCCTTACCCCACTTGCTCCTATTGGTTACCTGATTCAAATATGGTCCAATTTTCCCCCATTGGTTACTTTAGAAAACCTAATTATAATACTGTCCACTTTATCCCCATTGGTCGTTTTAAAATACCAAACCTGTGGCGGAAGTTGTCGTGGTTATAAGGCCTCAGTGGCGGGAGTTGTCATGGTAATGGGACTTACCCTACACAGGGACATGAGAGCACATCCCCTGTCTATTCTTCAGCAGCATCTTTCTTAAACCCTGCTCCACCATCTTGGCATCCTGAACTACTGCCTAACACTGCCAAATCCACATGTGGACCCACCCCACCGAAGGTATTGCTCTTTGGGGTTTGCAGTTGAGGTCACTTAAATACTCATGATATAAATGATTAAACCATGGTTTTCAAACTTGAGCATCTGAATCACCKGGAGGGCTTGTTAGAGTAGATTGCGGGGCCCCACACCCAGCATTTCTTACTCAGTAGGTCTTCAGTGGTGCCCAATTTTAATTTGCATGTCTAACATTCCCAGGTGATGTGACTGTTTCTGGTCCTGGAACCACATATTGATGACCAATAGACTATTCTACAGTCATCAGCAAAGAAAATGTTCCACCAAGAAGAAGAGGTGGGCTCCCGTGGAATGGACAGATGAAATGAACTCCCAGAGTCCATACTAACGGACAGCAGCAACATAGGTTAAAAAAACAGGTGTCCAATTATCACTATCACATCATTATTACTGTCATTAGAGACAAAACATAACCAACTCTATTTATTTTCTTCCACTCTCTTCCAAACCTACTTATCGACCTCAATTACCCCAGAAGAAAAGGAACATAACTAAATGAAATGAGATGTCAACACTGCACCATGGCCTGCCTGAGCTGTAAGATGATCCTGCCACTCTTCTCCAATGGCCTTCCAGAAGCCACAGACCACCTCAAAGCCACAAGTCTAGTGGCCTTTCCCTGCAGTGCACATTCTCCTTGTTTATTTTGTAGTATTTATATTGTCACAGGACATAGACTTCTTAAGCTATCAATTATAATTTTATTAGAATTACAATAAAATATTAATAAGTATACAAATTTCATTTTTACTTTATTCATATATCATCCATAAGAATCTTTATGTGCATATTGATGATTATTTTATAAAAGTTACTGAGACATCTGGCACTTTGGAGGCGGTCGATTATGTCACTACTAGCCTCACCCTACTGATGAATTTATATTTCTCATCTTCACACAGAAAGATGTCATTCAACCAGAATTTCTACAGGGTATAAAACATACCATTGTGAAATAAAATCATCATTTATTTTATTTTTAAATTCTTATCTATTTATTTACTTTGTGGTGTCAAGGAGCAAACCCAGGGCCTTGCACAGGCCAAGCACACAGCTTACACAGCGCCCCCCTAGATTGCCATTAAAAAAGTTATATTTCTTACTATTGTATGAGATTCTATAAAGATCTGAAGAAAATTTATGGACTTTCAAGTTTCAACAATGTGTCCTGAGGCTTCTTTTCCTTCTATGTRTTTTTTAAATGTCAATGTGACCATTTATTGAGAAAACATGTGTTGAACCCTTCTCTATGCTGTGTCTTATGATAGATGTTAGGAAAATAAAAATGAATAATACATTGCTGTCTTCCAAAAGCTTACAAGATAGTATCCATAATTTAAAGCCAGATGTAAATACAATTGACACAGCAAGAATAAAAACCAAATTTCTCCTAGGTTGGTTCCTTAGCCTCAGGACCAGAACATAGACAGGCCGTTTCCCCCAACATCTTGTCATTTGCAAACCTTGGGGCCAGGTTGTCCTTTTCCAGGCGGTCCTTCTGGGCCTCTTGTTCCTGGAAGCCCGGCTTCTCCCTAGAGGAAATCACACTGAAGTCTTAGCTAACGTTCCATAGACAGAATACATAATTCTACCTTGTCTCCTCTTATTGCCAGCAGATTCAGCTGAGACCCTCCACTCTAGTCTCAAAATTAATTTGGAAGCATATCAATGAATAAATTAACATTAAACTTCAGTTCAACCAGAGCAGCTGAAATATCATGAAAAAGTCTAATTTCTCAGCCAATTTCCAAAGCAATAAGCTCACTTTCCTTTGGCTCTTCATTCACATTTGGTGGATATTATTTTTAACAAGAAAGACCTTCAGCCTTTCCATCTGCTGTTTTTCAGTACTTTTATTGAAAAATGAGTATTTCAAATGTCAACTCAAAATTATTCAGGAAATCTTTACAATGGTCTTACTTCCTGAATGCATTTACAGACTCTCCTTTTGGAAGGGGTAAAAGGGGTATTTTTCTTTAAGTTTAAATTAATGTGCTTTCTAGAAATCCTGAAGGAACTAGGTTACTGGAAAATGCCAAGGCCAAAATACCAGAGAGGAGGCAGAGAATGTGAAACACTATTTTAGCCTTTAAATTGGTGCTCTTTCTATCCAGAGTAAGTGAAAGGGAAATTTTAAATTGTGTAACTTTTCTTTTTAAAGATATTCTTTGTGCTGGATGGTTTAATTTGAGCTCCTACAGGACCAAGATACCAGTCTGGTCCAATGGTTTGAACTCCAATAATATGAAAACCTTACTCTTACCTTCTTCCCTGCAGCTCCATCTTCTCCTGGTTCTCCTGGTTGACCCGGGGAACCTTTTGAACCTGGCTCCCCCTGGTGGATAAACAAAGATATTATCTCCCTTAAGTTTGTATTTACCAACCACCTACATTCTGAGGTACTTGCCATTGGATACATCTTACAATGTTTGAGAAAAGTCTCTGAGCTGAGAAATCTGATTAGTAATTAATAGTAACTAAGCCGGTTGACCTTGGGCACATTACTTCACCTTCTGGGACTCAGTTTTGTATTCTATGACCATGGGTTCAATAGCAAGCCCCCCAAAGTAAACTTGGTTAGAATAGAGTCTTTGCAGATATGGTCAAACTAAGATCAGATAATTAAGATGAATCCTAATAAAGTATTAATGGTGTCTTGATAAAAATAGGAAAATTCCAAGTGAAGAAAAATATATAGGGAAATCATCATGTGGCCACAGAGACAAAGACAAAAGTGAAAATAGTAGTAGGGCAAGGATCAGGACCACAGCTACACAGACAAGCAAGGATTCTGTCTACAGGCTTGGGGGAAAACAAGACCTGTGAACACTTTGACTTTGGACTTCTAGCATCCAAAAACCATGAGAAAATGATTTTTTGTTTTCCTAAGCCACCAAGTTTGTGGTTCTTTGTTATAACATTGCCTCTGGAAAACTAACATAAAATGAAATGAAAAATTGGGCCCCAACACCACTTCCAGTTCTCATATTCAATCATTCTATTTGCTTTCAACTTAATTTGTGATTAAAAATAAGTTCTTGCTGGGTGTAGTGGCGCATGCCTGTAATCTCAGCAACTCAAAAGGGTAAGACAGGAGGATCATGAGTTCAAAGCCAGCCTCAGCAAATGCAAGGCATTAAGCAACTCAGTGAGACCCTGTCTCTAAATTTAAAAAACACAAAAATAGGGCTGGAGATGTGGCTCAGCGGTAGCGCGCTCGCCTGGCATGCGTGCGGCCCGGGTTCGATCCTCAGCACCACATACCAACAAAGATGTTGTGTCCGCCGAGAACTAAAAAATAAATATTAAA